CTTTCTTTTATGTGTTAGAAGCGAGTCACTAAGTATACCTCACACTCAAGGGATGCGGAATTGGATTCCACCGTTTGAAGTGAAGAGTATCAAAGCATTTGTGGACATATTTTAAAGCTACCACAATAATGAATATTTTACTAGGAACATAATATGTTTAGTATATGTGCTGCCAAAGCAAGCACCAGAAATTTAATTTAATTTAAAATTGTTAGGTCATGCTCCAAGTTGTATGAAATGGGGTCAAAATTTACTGCTGTGTTGATTATACAAAGGTAATATATTTTTCAATGTTCATTTGGCATATTCACACATTGTTTACATACAGCAATAAAAAGGATTTAAAAAAACCACTTTTAAATAACATAATTTTGATCTTAAACCCATGTAAACTTTAAACATTTAATTAATGGCAATTGTGAAATTATTTGAAAGATCCAGTTGTAGTTTTCTTATAATGCTTTGTTGGTAGGTGAACCATTCAATAAAAGCAGCACAAGGGAGATCTAAGTGTTTATTAGGTATAGACCTCAAATGAGTAGAGCAATAAATGGCAAGGTCTGAGCATTCATTGGAAATCTGTGTATTTTTAACCTACAGGAAGTACCCTAGCCATATTTTTTGTTACTACTTAATATATCCTTTGGATGTTAAATAGCTTCTCAAATTTAACCTATCCAAAACTGAACTTCTGATATTTTTCCCTCTTTCTCTTTCTGCTGTCTTCCTCATTGTAGTAAATCAGATCCACTTTTTAGTTGCTCAGGCCAAAATCTTGGCGTTGTTCTTCACTTTTGTCAATACAGATCCTGTGGGCTTTTTCTTAAAAATATATCTGGAATCTAACCACTTGTTATTATCTCTATCACTATTCCCCTCCCCCCAGTTCATTCAACCATTATATCTCTCCTGGTCTAATGTAGGATTTTCTAATTGGCTTTCCTGCTTCAATATTTGCCATCTGTAGTCTAATTACCACATAGCAGCCATAGTAGTTTTCTGAAAACAAAAATCAGATTATGTCATTTATCTGCTCAAAACTCTGTAATGGTGTCTCATCCTGTTCAGGATAAAGCAGACTCTTTGTGTCGTGGTACCACTTTGACCTCATCTCCTGTTACTTCCCCACAGCTACTCCATTTCAGTTACACTTGCCTAATTGTTGTTTCTTGGACATGCCTTAGGGTTTTTTTCCATCTTCCTGTAACTCCCTTCCTCCATATGAATGTATGGTGTGTTCCCTAATTTCCTGAACTTTCAGCTGCTCAGTGAGGCCTTCTTTGGTCATCTTATATATATTAACAACTCTACCCCCAACGGTGCTCTCTATCCCCTTTAGCTTACTCTATTTTTCTTCATAGCATTTGTCACCATTCAACGTAAATGTTTACAGTTATCTGTCTTCCTCCACTAGATTGTAAGTTCCACAAAGGTAGGGACTTGGTCTGTTTTGTTTCACAGCTGTACTCTAAAGTGCCTTGCTTATAGTAGGCACTCAAGAAAAATTTGAATGTTGAATGAATTTCTAGAAATTAGTGGAAAAGGAAACTGAATGTTATTTTTGGTAGCCTAAAGTTTCTTTTATTTTATTTTATTTTTTTTATTTATTATTTTTTTTTTAGCTGAGCCATCCTGCTACCTGTTGGCAGCTCAGCGGCTGCTCAGCTCGGGCTGGACTCGAACCGCTGTTGTTCAGAGCTCAAACTCTTGAGCGAGCTCTTAACCAACTGAGCCACTCGGCCGGCCCAAGTTTCTTCTTTTATATAATAATGGTCCTGAACTGCCAACTGAGCCTAACACATAAGTATAAAACTTTTTGTTTCACAAATCTAGTACAATCCTCCATTTTATTGATGATGAAATCAAGTCATCACCATGTTAAATATTCCCAAAGTTATAGCCAGTTAGTGGTACAGCTAAGACTAGAATCCAGGTCTCTTGTGTCCCAATTCATTTATTTTTTTTGTTTGTTTTTCTACTTTGTGATGCCTTCATTAGTATGAGGCCAAACTTGAAGAGTCAGTTTCTGGAAACAAAGAGCTAAAACTAAAAATATCAATGAGTATAAATTGAAATAGATAGGCTTTTTGAGAAGATTGATGATATTCAAAACAATAAAACCTGCTGATTGATTCAGTTAAAACCATTCCTCCCCCAGTGGTCCTTACAATATTTAAGTTAGTTTCTTATAGCTTTAGAATGTTTATTGCCAAATAAACATTGAGGAATGTGTTTATTTACGTTGTATTTGGTATTTTTTTAATCTCACTCAGGTGCACATGAACTTGAACAGATGCAGCTGATTTTAGAATCTATTCCTGTTGTACACGAGGAAGATCGTCAGGAGCTTCTCAGCGTAATTCCAGTTTACATTAGAAATGACATGACTGAGCCACACAAACCTTTAACTCAGCTGCTTCCGGGAATTAGTCGAGAAGGTATTGTGACTCAAGAATAACCATCATGTAATTTGTGTGTGTGTGTGTGTGTGTGTGTGTGTGTAAGTGTAAGTACGTGTGAGTGTGTAAGTGTAAGCAAGCAGGATCTGTGTAGGGAAGCTTTAGCTTTTTATCCTTAGATGTGCGACTTTCTCCCAAATAGTCTTTCAGACACTTAAAGTATACTTACAACTTAAACTCTCACTTTCACCTTTTTGGCCTGGCACTTAGGCTGGGATCTGTTTCTTTGCTCCTCTGCATAACTTTCCTTTCTAAAAAGTGCGCCCCTTTCTCCTGGTTCTAACTGCATCTGCTTTTCCAGCTTACATCTCTGTAAGATGGAAGTTATCTACCATAGATAAGCATGTTGAATCACTGGCCCTCCCTAAGTGGAATGGAGCTCTGTGAGGGTTACATGATAAATAAGTGTGGGTATGAGTATGAATATAATTTAGATATGAAAGAGTAAATTTAGTTGGGCAGTGGAGGGAAAGCAAAGCCTTCAGGGCAAGGAGGAGATGGAGGAAAGAGCAAAACTCCATATGAGCAAACATATCATGTAAGAGTTTGCGGATTGGTGTTAGGAGTATTAGGTGCTAATGTGACAATTTCTGCAAACTTGAAAGTAGTAGGAACTTAGAGAGAATCAAAACTTTGTTGACCACTAAAGCAATCATGTCTCAAAATAGAATGACATATCTTTAGATTTGTTGACATAAATAAGATACAAAAGTCTTTTTTTTTTTTCTTTTAAAGATTTTTATTGGGGAGTTGGGGGAAGGAGAACAGACAAGTTGCTATCCTTTTGTTCTTCAGTCTAGTTGTGGAGGATGTTGCTTCACTGGCCCAAATTGGCACCATCATTGTGCTCTTCCCAGGCGAGGCAGATCAGTCACTGGCTTCTGGACAGCCGCTCTTGGCGGCTTGAGGGCCACTCACGCTGACTGCTGGCTACACACGGTAGCCCATGGCTGCAGCCAATGCCATCGCTAGCGACTCACAGCAGCCCAGCTCCAGGTTGAGCTGTTGTTCAGCATCTTAGCTATAGAGGGCAGTGTCACTGGCCCTCAGCAGCCCAGCTCCAGGTTGAGCTGTTGTTCAGNATCAAAGCGATAAAACGAGATAAGCACAGGAACATATAAATATAAAATTTCCACTTGAAATATCTTAATTATTACTAATATAGCTCTTTAAATCATGTGCATTTTGTCATAAATATCATGATTTTTAAAGATGCTCCCTCTGAAAAAATTAAAACCAATTTTCTTAAAATATTATTCTTAAAAAGTTCTTTCAGATATATTTTTGTTTTGATTTATTTGTAACATATCTAGAACTATTACTCTATAGAATAAAATACTATTTATCTGGAAAAAAAAAAAAAAAAAAAGAGTTAGGCTGTATTACTTGCATACATATTTAAATGAACTATTACACTGGACTTACAGTTTCTTAGACTTGAGATGCACACTTACCCTCACTGCTAGCCCCTCTGGAACAGTTACTCCCACATAGGATCCCTGAAGGCCCACCCACTCCCTTACTTTTTCCTTTAGAGCTTTGCTCCAGTATCACCTTATCAGAGAGGCATTCCCTAACCACCCTCCCTGTTCCCTTTGTCTATGTTTTTCACACCACTTACACCATCTGACATCTGTGTTTTGCTTATTTGTTGGTCTGTCTTCCCCCACTGTAATATGAGCTCTTCATATAAATACCACCCAGCTCCATAAGATTCTAGTAGTTTGTCATACTTCAGTTTTTTAAAAAGAAATAACACATTAAAGATACAGTTGAAGCATACTGTGTAACCTCACCCTGATCCTAATCCCGTCCCTCATTCCTTAAGGACATTATTATCATAGATTTATTATCAATCTCATGTTTTTTATACTTTTGCTACATAATATGGCATTATTTTGCATATTTGTGAACCTGATATAACTAGTTCCAGCATACACATTTCTATTTGCAGTTTGCTTTTTAAATGTATATTTTGTGATTTCAACCATCTGTATTCATTTTTACTACTATATAGTTAGTAATCCACTAAATGAATTTAACTCATGTGTTTATTGAAAATTTGGCTGTTTTTAGTATTTATAAAAAAGTGAGCATTTGTATATCAATTTTCAAGCATTTCTGTAGGGAGTATTCCTTGAAGAAAAGTTGCCAAGTCATAGGTATGCTATTTACTTATTCTTTTATGTTACTGATGTTTTACCCCTCAAAAAATTTTAAAGAAGTCTATAAAAATATTATGAACTTTCCTTCCATCACTCATTGGCATTTAAGAAATGATACAATCTAATGAGCCTAAGTGTTATAAAGACTCTAATATGCTGGGATCAGGAGTCTGAGCCAACACATGTGAATTGCTTACAACATGGATAGCTATTTTTGATTGATGGTAATCTTTCCATTTAGGGCTATAAATAAATAAGTTTACTATACCAGGAGTAGTTTATAGCTGAATGACCAATTTGTATCATTTTACAAAGTTGAAGAAAAGAGCATTTCCTGCAGTGGTGACTCTTTTCCTTCTTTTTTCTCATCCTGCAGGTTGTATCGGAGTAAGATGGACGGTAGCTTTGATTGTGATTGTGGTGAGCTGGAACCACCTGATCACTAACAAAAGACATCTTCTGTTAACTAACAGCTGCCAAGGCTTCCTGTTGAAAAATACAGCAACAAAGGAAGAAAAGAAGCAAAACGGAAATAGTGCTTACCAGCACCTTAGAACGATGCTGCTCAGGACCAGTCCAACACTGAATGTATCTGCACTGTGAGGAGAATGTTCATAGAAGCCTGTTGTGTGCATATTTATTCACATTTTTGTTAAATGTTAAATCGTTTAGCACAGTAAATCTGAGTGCATAGTATGTCATTTCATTCCGTTTGAGTTTCTTGAGTGTTTTCTTTAAGTGTCTGCAGAGTTGCTGCCCCTTTCTTGAACTATGAGTACTGCAATCTTTTTAATTCTCAATATGAGGAGAGCTTTTTGAGCTTTAAGTAAATCTAAAGGGGAACTCAACAGGCCTGGTTGGCATATGCAATGAACATCAAGAAACCATCTTGCTGTGGAAGCAAAATTATTTTTCTTCTCCCTTTTTGAAAGATCTTTCCTTTTGATGCCAGTTTTCTTCCTTGTTTACACAAGTTCAACAATTCGAAAGGAAAAGGCAATAGTAAAGGTTTCAAAATGGCAGAGAAATTTGAAAGTCTCATGAACATTCATGGTTTTGATCTGGGCTCTAGGTATATGGACTTAAAACCATTAGGTTGTGGAGGCAATGGCTTGGTTTTTTCTGCTGTAGACAATGACTGTGACAAAAGAGTAGCCATCAAGAAAATTGTCCTTACTGATCCCCAGAGTGTCAAACATGCTCTACGTGAAATCAAAATTATTAGAAGACTTGACCATGATAACATTGTGAAAGTGTTTGAAATTCTTGGTCCTAGTGGAAGCCAGTTAACAGACGATGTGGTCTCTCTTACTGAACTGAACAGTGTTTACATTGTTCAGGAGTACATGGAGACAGACTTGGCTCATGTGCTGGAGCAGGGCCCTTTATTGGAAGAGCATGCCCGGCTTTTCATGTATCAGCTGCTACGTGGGCTCAAATACATTCACTCTGCAAACGTACTGCACAGAGATCTCAAACCAGCTAATCTTTTCATTAATACTGAAGACTTGGTGCTGAAGATAGGTGACTTTGGTCTTGCGCGGATCATGGATCCCCATTATTCCCA